GCTTTCCGGAAATTGTGTTTTATTTTTTAAAGTTAAATGTTTTCCGGAAAGAATAATTGTAAATGTTTTTGGAGGGTGTTTTTCCGAATTATAATTTTTGTTTTAGTATTATGTTTTCCGGAAAATGTTTAGAACATGATTAATACTTTTCCGGAATTTTCTAAATACATTTGTAGAATTGTAATTTAAGTTTTTTCCGGAAATTGTGTTTCAATGTTTTCCGTAAAGTATAATTGTAAATGTTTTTCAAGATTTTTTCCGGATTATAATTTATATTTAAATATTCTTCCTGAAAATGGTTAGAACAAGATTAATATTTTCCGGAAATTAATAAATGTTTTCCGGAAAGAATAATTGTAAATGTTTTTTTCCGGAAAATGCTTTTCCTGAATTTATATTTGTAGAATTGTAATTTAAATTTTTCCGGATCGTGTTTTAATGTTTTCTGAAAATTGTAAAAATAACGGTTTTTTCCGAAATTTTAATTGTTTTAACTCTAATATTTTTTAAAACTAATATTTTAAAAATTAATTACTTTTTAATATTTTACAGCGAATCTACACTTTTACAAAACAAAATATTTGAACTTTTGGATGGTGCTTGTGGTGAAATTCGAGTTTCTTGTGCTGCTGATAAATCTAGAAGTACATTTGATTGCAATCATGTCTTTATTCGATTGGAATATGATACAGAAATTGGAAAAAGGAATACAGATTATTGGCCTAGATCTATTGAGGAAGCAATTAAACGTTGTGAAAAATATTTGATAAAACACAGAATTACTGGTGAATTTTTAAAAATTTTTTTAAAAATTTATCAGAGGAACCTTTCACTTATACATAGATTCCCATTAAATTATTGTCTAGAAATTCTATTGGTACCAGAGGTGGTCGGAATTCCAATTTCCGATTTCCGAAAAAAATTTTGATTTCCGATTTCCAAGTTCCGATTTCCGAAAAAAATTTTGATTTCCGATTTCCAAGTTCCGATTTCCGAAAAAAATTTTGATTTCCGATTTCCAAGTTCCGATTTCCGAAAAAAATTTTGATTTCCGATTTCCAAGTTCCGATTTCCGAAAAAAATTTTTAGTTCCAAGTTCCGACTTTTGAGCCAGTTCCGATTTCCGACAGTTTCGATTTCCGACACCTCTGACTGTTCCGACCCACCTCTGATTGGTACTTATTTGTTATACGCCCACAAGCTGTAAAAACATTAAATAATATACTAATTCCGGAAAACATAACATTCTTTAAAACAAAATTAATTTAAAAACATTTGCACAGTTTCCGGAAACATTATAAAAACATTAATAAAATTTCCGGAAAACATTGTTGTTAAAAACATTTAATAGAGTCTAGAGTATTAAATGTTTTTAGCAACAATGTTTTCCGGAAAGTTATTTAATGTTTTTATAATGTTTCCGGAATCAATAAATGTTTTTAAATTAATTTGTGTTTTCAAGAATGATATGTTTTCTGGAATTATTATTTAATGTTTTTACACGGTTTAAGAAACATAAAAACATTTGTGAAATTTCCGGAAACATTATAATGTTTTTAAAACTAATATTTATGTTTTTCCGGAAAACTTAAGTGTTTTGTGAATGTTTTTGTGAATGTTTTGTTGAATGTTTTCCTAATGTTTTGTTGAATGTTTTGTCAAATGTTTTGTTGAATGTGTTTGCAAGAAGGATATGTTTTCCGGAATTATATTATTTAATGTTTTTACACTCTTTAAGAAACATAAAAACATTTGTGAAATTTCCGGAAAACATTATTTTAATGTTTTTACAATGTTTTCCGGAAGTTTTGTAAATGTTTTTAGCAGCAATATTTTCCGGAAAGTTATTTAATGTTTTTACAATTCCGGAAATACAATACATGTTTTTACAATCCTTCCGGTTATTGTAATAAATGTTTTTAAAAATAATAATGTTTTCCGGAAATTTCATGGTTAGGGAGTTGCTTAATAGCAACATAGAGTCCCTCTATTTTAAGATACCTCTAATTATACCTCTAATAATAAGGTCCGATTTTTTCATCCCCATTTATTAAAGTGAGGTCCAATTTTTAAATATAATTTAATTTTAATTTTTTCTTTTTTGAATTTTATAGAAGTCGAAGTGAATTATGAACAATTACGTCCTTCAACAACCAACACAAATTCTAACAACATTACAGAATTACAACAACAATTTGAAACTATCAGAATTGTTTATATGAATGAAACTGGTGCAATTCCGGAAATTTGTGTTTATCGAGTAAATTAATATTTTTATTAAACTTTTTCCGGAATTTATGTATTATCTTCCTGAAAATGTTCACCTATTATTTATTTTCCTTAAAATTGTAATTAGTTTATCCGGATGGACTTGTATGTTATTTCTCTTGTCGGAACTATCATAATTTTATTCTAGCGATTTTAAGCCTGATATTTACTTTCCGGAATATTTTTAAATGTTTTTCCGGAAACTAATTCCGGAACAAAAATATCAGGTGCTTTCCGGAATTATTTTCCGGAAAAACTTTTATTATTATCCGGAACTTTCAGAATTTTTCCGGGAATATCAGAATCCTTTCCGGAAATATCAGAATTTACCCGGAAACATCAGAATCTTTTTCAGAATCCTTTCCGGAAACACCAGAATTTTTCCGGAAACATCAGAATTTTTTTCCCGGAAACATCAGAATCTTTTCCGGAAATATCAGAATTTCTTTCGAAAATATCAGAATTTTTTTCGGAACTTTCAGAATTTCTTCCGGAAACATCAGAATCCTTTCCGGAAATATCAGAATCCTTTCTGGAAATATCAGAATTTTTTCCGGAAATATCAGAATTTTTTCCGGAAATATCAGAATTTCCTCCGGAAATATCAGAATTTCCTCCGGAAATATCAGAATTTCCTCCGGAAATATCAGAATTTCCTCCGGAAATATCAGAATTTCCTCCGGAAATATCAGAATTTCCTCCGGAAATATCAGAATTTCCTCCGGAAATATCAGAATTTTTTCCGGAAATATCAGAATTTCCTCCGGAAACACCAGAATTTTTCCGGAAACATCAGAATTTTTTCCGGAACTTTCAGAATTTTTCCGGAAATATCAGAATTCTTCTATCTATTCATTTTTTACTCCCATTTTTTTAGGTAAACGAAGACAGAAAATTAATTCCAATAGAAAGTGGAGGTCATGCACGTTTAGCAGGAAAAAGTTCAGCAACTCCACATCACACAATACAACAAGTTAATGTACAGAAAAAAAGATACCAAGCAAATAAATTGGGAACTACTTATGTTTATGATATGCCTATAATGTTTGGAAAGGCTGCCTTTGATGAATGGACATTTTTTAAACGTTCTGATCCAAAATCTTATTCTGCGTAAGAAAAAAAAATTTTTTTGAAATTTTTTTGAAAAATTTTTTTCCGGAATTTTTTTCCGGAATTTTTTTCCGGAATTTTTTTTGAAATTTTTTTCCGGAATTTTTTTCCGGAATTTTTTTCCGGAATTTTTTTTGAAATTTTTTTCCGGAATTTTTTTCCGGAATTTTTTCCGGAATTTTTTTTTCAAAAATTTTTTTTGAAATTTTTTTCGAAATTTTTTTTGAAAATTTTTTTCCGGAATTTTTTTTCCGGTATTTTTTTTCCGGAATTTTTCTTCCGGAATTTTTTCCGGAATTTTTTTTTCAAAAATTTTTTTTGAAATTTTTTTCGAAATTTTTTTTGAAAATTTTTTTCCGGAATTTTTTTTTGAAAATTTTGTTTATTTTATAGGGCATTTGAAATGTTGCCCAGTGAACAACAACTGGCTATTAATAATTCGGATGTTAGAAAATTGGCTAAAGGTGTGTTTTTTGAGGGGAGATATTTGTTTTTGAAATTAATTAGAATTTATGTCCGGAAAACAACCTTTATTGATTTTCCGGAAACTTAATTTCCGGAAAAATATAATTTAAAAATAATTTTGATATTTCCGGAAGGTACTTTCCTGTTATGACGCAACACATTTAAATTTTTTTGAAAAAGCTAAAAATGCTCAACACAGTTAAGAGTTAGGCATGTTAAGAGTTAGGCATGAACAAAACACTACGGTAGACTGGTCTCAATATATGCGGGAAATTTGTGCTTATCATCTGCTTCAAAAAGAACCATAAAATTTTTTCCCATTTTTGCTTCAAAAAAAGAACAAATTCCGCCAAACACCCACTGAGGTGTGAAAACACGTGGGAAAATGGGGGAAAAATTTTATGCTTATTATTACTATTTTTGAACATTTTTAGCTTTTTTAAAAAAATTTAAATTTGTTGCGTCATAGCAGGAAAGTACCTTCCGGAATTGTTGTTTTGTGTTCGTTTTGTCTTTGGTTTTCCGGAAAATTAAAATTAGTTTGTTCGGACTAATTTGTGTCTGAAAATTAGTGTTTTCCAGTAAAATTTATTTTATGTTTCAGACCAAATTAATTTTATTTTTTTTTTCAAAAAACAACCCTTTATTTATTTTTCCGGAGAACAATGACAGACGATCACAACAGGGGTGTGCGCCAAAATTTTCGCGTGGCGCGCCAAACGCCAATTTTTCAAATTTTTAAATCACGCCAAAGAGCATTCCGCACTCGGAACGGGCTAGTTGAGCGTGGCCGGTTGAGCGTCAGCCAACTTTGATCGGCTATAACTTTTTTCCGCTTGATTCAATACTAATGAATCATATATCATTCGAAAGCCCTTGTTAAGCGCTATATTTGTTTCAATTGGATGGATCATGATTGATCGCTATTTAAAAAGTTACAAGTCGATAAGTGTGAAAAACAACGATTTTCTGCATTTATCGACTTATAACCTTTTAACCGGGATCAGACTTGATCCATCCAGTTGGGATAAAGATTGGACTCATCGAGGGCTTTCGAATGATATATGATTCATTCGTATTGGATCAAGGCTAAAAAAGTTATAGCCGTTCAAATGTCGGCTGACGCTCAACCGGCCACGCTCAACTGACCCCAACCGTTCCGCACTATCAGAATTTTTCTCTCAGTGTCTCCAGCTCTTTCTTCTTAAATAAACTCAGAATTATTTCTTTCCGGAAGAGTATCAATCATTTTCAGAACTAGTTTAAATTTGTTCTATTTATACGCCCTTAACTACAATAAAATTTAATTTTATTTTAAAGTTTTCGAAATGATTTTAACCTCTGACGATCCAAATGCTCAATTAAATATTATTCGAAGTGAGGAAGAATTAAATAGAAGAATGTCTTCTGGCTGTAATGACCGTGGAATGATTGCTTGGGAAATGCAAATTTGGACACCAGATTCTCCTCATGGCCGTTCAATTGTTTTAATTTCAAATGATATTACTTTTCAAATGGGGTCGTTTTCTATGAGAGAACATCGTTTATATCAAAAAGTGAATTTTTTAAATTTATTCTAAAAGTGTGTTTCTTCATTAAAATATTTTCCGGAAAACTCGAGTAACAAAACAGTAAAATTTTCCGGAAACATTTACAATTCTAGTATATTTTTTTCCGGAAAACTTAGATATAGTATATTGAATTTATACAATATTCCGGAAACAGTTACAATTGCTAAAAACGTTTCCGGAAACTTGAGTTTAATGTAATAAACGTCTCCAACCTTCCGGAAAATTTAATAAAATATTTTCCGCAAACTTAAGTTTAATGGCAGACATTTACAATTTTCCGGAAACATTAAAAAATAGATTCCGGAAAACTTAAATATATTGGACTTATACAATTTTCCGGAAACTATTACAATTTTTAAGTGTTTCCGGAAACTTAAGTTTAAATATAAACGTCTCCAACCTTTCCGGAAACATTTAATAAAATATTTTCCGGAAACTTAAGTTTAATAACAAATATTTACAATACTTTCCGGAAAGTTTAAATATAATATATTTAACTTTTACAGTTTTCCGGAAACATCTACAGCTCTATTAAATTCTTCCGGAAAACTTGAATTCAATAATAAACGTTTCAAGTTTCCGGAAACTTAAGTTTACTAAAGATTTTACAATTTTCCGGAAATGTTTAGAATTATTCGAAAATATTTTACAGAAACTTGAAACATTTACAATTCTATTTAAACATTTTCTGGAAACCTTAACAATTCTATAAATAGAGATTTTCAATTTTCCGGAAACATGAAGAATAACTCAGAAACCTCTTATAATTACAAAAAAATTTTTTTCCAGGCAAGTGAATATAGCCGTATTAATAAAATGCCTCGTGTTTATATTGCTGCAAATTCTGGTGCAAGAATTGGATTTGCTTCAGATATAAAAAATCATTTAAATATTGTATGGAATGATGATGATAGACCTGAAGATGGATTTAAATATTTAACTTTGGACCCTAAAGTTGAAAATTCTGAAATTCTTTCACAGGTGCCACCCTTAAAAATTTGCAAAAAATTTTCCGGAAAAAAATTTTTTTCCGGAAAAAATTTCAAAATTTTCAAAAATTTCAAAAAAATTTTTCGTAAAATTTTTTTCCGGAAAAATAATTTTTCCGGAAAATTTAAAAAATTTCAAAAAATTTTCCGGAAAAAAATTTTACGGAAAAATTTTTTTCCGGAAAAAAATTTCCCGGAAAAAATTTTTTTTGGAAAAAATTTTTAAAAATTTCAAAAAAATTTTTTTCAGATTGAGTCAACTCTATTAAACAACGGTAACAGACGTATTGACGCAATTATTGGAAAAGAGGGAGATATTGGTGTTGAAAACTTGGTCGGTTCCGGTTTAATTGCAGCGGAAACAAGTGCTGCATATCGCAAAGTTCCAACTTATTGCTTGGTAAACTTTTACAACCTTCCGGAAATATTTTTTTTTGTGTTATAATTTTCTGGAAACATTTGCAATTCTACTAAAACATTTTCCGGAAGACATTATAAATTTTAAATGTTTCCGGAAATGGAGAAATAACTCCAAAGATTCCTAAAACATTTTCCGAAAATGTTTACAATTCTACTAAAACACTTTCCGGAAAACTTAATAAAATTTAAACCTTTTCGGAAACATAAAAATCCTTCAAATTGTTTTAAAAACATTTTCCGGAAACATTTACAATTATATGACAATTCCGAAAATGTTATTATAGAATTGTAAATGTTTTGCAATGTTTTTCCGGAAAACATTGAAAAATGTTTTCCGGAAAAATATTTTCCGAAAACATTGTAAAAACGTGTTTTTTTGTAAAAAACATGTTGCAAAAACATTAAATAACAATTTTGCAAAACATATTCTCGAAAACATTTATTAAATTCCGGAAACATTATATTTAAATTTCTGGAAAACATTATTTTTACAATTCCGGGAAACATTGTAAAAAAATTTTTTTCCGGAAAATTCCGGAAAACATTATTTTTAAAATTCGGGAAACATTTACAATTTTACTAAAACATTTTCCGGAAAACTAAATAAAATTTAAAATTTTCCCTAAACTTATTTAAAATATATTCAGGTTTCTGGACGTGCTGTTGGTATTGGAGCTTATGTTGCTCGTCTTTCTCATCGAATCTGTCAAGTCGAAAATTCTCATATAATTCTTACTGGTGCAGCTGCATTAAATTCTGTTTTGGGTAGAGAAGTGTATACATCAAATAATCAACTTGGTGGACCACAGGTGGAAAAATTTGTTTTAAACGAATCTTTGTAATCTTATACTACTTTCCGGAACTTTATATTAACTTTTACAAGTTTTCGGAAAAATTACAATTCCTTAAAGTATTTTCCGGAAACTTAAGTTTAATAATAAATATTTTCCGGAAACTTAAGTTTAATAATAAATATTTTCCGGAAACTTAAGTTTAATAATAAATATTTTCCGGAAACTTAAGTTTAATAATAAATATTTTCCGGAAACAAGTTTAATAATAAATATTTTCCGGAAACTTAAGTTTAATAATAAATATTTTCCGGAAACAAGTTTAATAATAAATATTTTCCGGAAACTTAAGTTTAATAATAAATATTTTCCGGAAACTTAAGTTTAATAATAAATATTTTCCGGAAACTTAAGTTTAATAATAAATATTTTCCGGAAACTTAAGTTTAATAATAAATATTTTCCGGAAACTTAAGTTTAATAATAAATATTTTCCGGAAACTTAAGTTTAATAATAAATATTTTCCGGAAACTTAAGTTTAATAATAAATATTTTCCGGAAACAAGTTTAATAATAAATATTTTCCGGAAACTTAAGTTTAATAATAAATATTTTCCGGAAACTTAAGTTTAATAATAAATATTTTCCGGAAACTTAAGTTTAATAATAAATATTTTCCGGAAACTTAAGTTTAATAATAAATATTTTCCGGAAACTTAAGTTTAATAATAAATATTTTCCGGAAACTTAAGACTAATTATAACATTTATAATTTTCCGGAAAACTTTTTTTCTTCTAATAGATAATGTACCATAACGGTGTAACACATTCTGTCGCTCATGATGATATGGATGGAATAAAAAAGATTCTTCATTGGATAACTTATCTTCCTCCTCCTCCCTCAACAACAATGTTATTACCTTCTCCAACAACACAACAACCAACATTACCCCCTCTTACAATGTTAAAAGACGACAAAGCAAGAATGGTTCATACCCAACCAACAAAAAGTGCTTATGATCCACGTTTAATGTTAGATCCTCCAGATGGTGGTGGACTTTTTGATAAGGGGACATTTGATGAAATTATGAGTGGATGGGCAAAAACAATAATTGCTGGGAGAGCACGTTTAAGAGGACTTGCTGTTGGTGTTTTGGCTGTGGAAACACGAACGGTGGAATGTGAAATACCTGCTGATCCAGCTACGCAAGATTCTCAGGCTAAATGTGTGCTACAAGCTGGTCAAGTTTGGCATACTGATTCGGCATTTAAGGTGATATACCAGAAAAATAATTTTTTAGGGGCACGTTGCTTTCTGGGCATCCTACCACTGGGCAAGTTACCTAATTTTTCCGGTCTTCCGGAAATCTTTAATTTTGCGGAAATTTTTTTAGCCTTACGGAAATGTTTTCCGGAGATTTTTTCCGGAAAATTTTTTCCGGAAAATTTTTTTAGCCTTCCGGAAATTTTTTTCCGGAAATTTTTTTAGCCTTCCGGAAAATTTTTTCCGGAAAATTTTTTTAGCCTTCCGGAAATTTTTTTCCGGAAATTTTTTTAGCCTTCCGGAAATTTTTTTCCGGAAAATTTTTTTAGCCTTCCGGAAATTTTTTTCCGGAAATTTTTTTAGCCTTCCGGAAATTTTTTTAGCCTTCCGGAAATTTTTTTCCGGAAATTTTTTTAGCCTTCCTGAAATTTTTTTCCGGAAATTTTTTTAGCCTTCTGGAAATTTTTTTCCGGAAAATCTTTTTAAACTTTCCGGAAATTTTTTCCGGAAACTAATGCTTTCCTTCTCGTTTTATCTCGGTGTATCCTACCACTGGTCACTCTACAAAAAATCTTTGCCTATACTGTAGCTAAATTTAAAATTACCATTTTTAGACAGCAGAAGCAATAAACGATTTCAATCATGAAGGACTTCCTCTAATCATATTAGCAAATATTCGAGGATTTAGTGGTGGACAAAAGGGTGGGTAAATGAATAATACGATAACTTAAATTAAAAACTTAATTAATTAATTATTTAATCATAGAACTTTCGGAAATATGTGGATATTTATTTTCTCTAGATATACTTCCGTAAAAATCTTTTCCGGAAACTTTCTGAATATATTTTCCGGATTGTTTCTGGGATATATTTTTCCGTATTAAGAATTATTTGTTTCCGGAATTGTTTCTAAGTTTTCATTAATGTTTTCCGGAAAATGTTCAGTTCGCTCCTTCCGGACCGTAATGTTTCCCAGAAAAATAGATTATTAAAATGTTTTCCGGAAATTGTTTTTAATTTAAAATTTTCTGGTAATTTAAGTTTAATGAAATGACCTCTACAACTTTTCCGGAAACATTTACAAACCGGAACTTTAATTTCATAAAATCGGAACCTTTCCGGAACCTATCAAATTTCCTGAACCTTAAACGGAACCTTTCCGGAACCTTAAATTTTTATTAATTTTTTTCGGAAAATGTTTAGTTCGTTCCTTCCGGACTGTAATGTTTTCCGGAAAAATATATTTAATTAAAATTTTATTTTTCTCTCTAGATATGTTTGAAATGGTACTAAAATTTGGTGCTTGGATAGTTGATGCTTTACAAACATATACCCAACCAGTAATAATTTATTTACCTCCCTTTGGCGAACTTCGTGGTGGTGCTTGGGCAGTATTAGATACACAAATAAACCCAACATGCATAACAATGTTAGCAGATTCTAATAGTCGTGGAGGTGTTTTGGAAGCAAATGGGATAGTTGAAATAAAATTTAGAGAGAAAGATTTGTGTGTTTTACTTGGAAAATGTGATGAAAAAACGAAAAAATTGGAAGAAGAATTGGCTAAAAATAATAAAAATAAAAATTTTAATGAAGAAAAGAAAAAAGAATTGCAACAAGAATATGAGAAACGTAAAGAAAAACTTTTACCTGTATGTAGAGCTGCTGCAGTTAAATTTGCTGATTTGCATGATACTACTGCTAGAATGCTTGCTAAAGGGGCTATACATGTAAGAGAGAAAAAAACATAAATTACAATTTCCGGAAAAACATGTTTAAAAACATGTTTCTCACTGAAAACATGTTTTACAATTTCCGGAAAAACATGTTTTACAACTCCTAGAGTTATTTTAAAAATAATGTTTTCCGGAAAACATTTTGAATTTTATGTTTTCCGGAAATTATAAAAATATGTTTGGGGCTATTCATGTAAGAGAGAGAAAAACATAAATTACAATTTCCGGAAAAACATGTTTAAAAAAAAAAATAAAACATGTGTTAAAAAAACATGTGTTAAAAAAAAAAATTCATTTTTCCGGAAGTTGTATAAGATGTTTTGAAAAATTGATGTTTTTTCGGAATTGTATTTAATGTTTTTACAATGTTGTTCGGAAAGTGTAAAAATAATAATAATATTTTTTGGAAATTTATTAAATGTTTTTCTGATATTTCCGGAATTTGTAAAAACATCTATTAAAACTTCCGGAAAACATTATTATTTTTACAATGTTTTTCTGATAAAAACAAACCTTTTCCGGAAATTTGTAAAACATTTTTCTGAATTTGTAAAATGTTTTCCGGAATTTTCGAATGTTTTCAACAATTTTAAAAGTTTTCCGGAATATCTAAAATGTTTTTCACAAATTGTAAACATTTTCCGGAATTTTTAATATGTACTTTACAATTTGTAGTGTTTTCAGGAATTTTCCGAATGTTTTTAGAAATTTTAAAAACATTTTCCGGAATTGTAATACATTTTACAATTTGTAAAAGTTTGCAAATTTGTAAAACATTTTTAAGAGTTTGTAAAAATGTTTCCGGAATTCCTAATACATACTTTACAATTTGTAAAATGTTTTCCGGAATTTTTTGAATGTTTTTAACAATTTGTAAAACATTTTCCGGAATTTGTAAAAAAATATTTTAATATCATTTAATTTTCTAGGACGAAGTAGCTTGGCAAAATACTCGAAATTATTTTTACAATTTACTCTGTGTACAATCAATTAAAATGGAGATGGCTAAAAATTATTTATCTGCTTGTTCAATTTCAACAACAAATTTGTCTTCATTTACAATAGACGAGTTAGAAAAAGGGTGTAAATGGGTAGATAAACATTTGGCTGAAACTTCAATTTTAATAAGAAGAGAAATAAATTTAAAAGAGAAGCCGTCAATGGATTATTCTAAACGAACACGTTTTGAATATTTTTTTGAACAAATTATGGAATATTCTAATGGAAAAGAATTTTTACAAGTATTGGAACAAATTAAGGCAGATACACTTTTAAAGCAACTTAAATTGGTTACTGGTAATTTAGAGCAGAGAGAACGCTTTGTTGCAGCATTATTAGAGAGGGATTGAAAAATTATTTATATTAAATTATATTTTTTATAATTTTGGAATTTTTACTTAAATATACAGATTTTTCTTTTAGTTTAAGACAAGTCCGCAAGTTTGAAGTTTTTTCCGGAAATTGTAATGTTTTTAGAAGTGTTTCCGGAATTGTAATGTTTCTAGAAATGTTTTTCCGGAAATTGTAAAATTTAAAATATGTTCTACAAATTGTAATGTTTTTAAAAATGTTTTCCGGAAAAAATGTTTCTAGGAATGTTTTCCGGAAATTGTAAAATTAAAAAATGTTTCCTGAAAATTGTAATGTTTTTAGAAGTTTCCGGAAATGTAATAATTTTATTAATGATTTCCGGAATTGTGATGTTTTTAAAAATGTTTTCCGGAAACAAAAATAAAAAAATGTTTTCTGAAGATTGTAATATTTCTATTGATGTTTTCCAGAAATTGTAATGTTTCTAGAAATGTTTTCTGGAAACTTAAATGTTTTTATGAATGTTTTCCGGAAACTAAAATTAAAAAAAATGTTTTCCGGAAAAATTGTAATGTTTTTAGAAATGTTTTTCCGGAAATTGTATTGTTAATAATGTTTTTCGGAATTTAAATGTTTTTAAAAAGATGTTCATTTGTTGAAACATAAATTACAATTTACAAAACATTTAAAAACATTTTTTACAATTTTCGGAAAACATTTTAAAAATTAATGTTTTTCCGGAAATTGTAAAGATGTTTTTAAAAATAACAATTCTCTGAAACATTGATAAAAACATAAATTACAATCCGGAAAATTAATTTTAAAAACATGTTCATATTGAGTGTTTAAAAACATTTTTAAAAACATTCCGGAAAACATTTAAAATACATTTTTAAAAGTGTATTTTCCGGAAATTTTATTAAATGTTTTTACAATGCTTCCAGAAATTGTAATATTTTTATTAATGTTTTCCGGAATTGTAATGGTTTTAAAAAGGAGCCGTTCATGTGAGGAAACCTGAGGAAACATAAATTACAATTGTGAAAACATATAAAAACATATAAGAACTTCCGGAAAACATTTTAAGAATTAATGTTTTTCCGGAAATTGTAAAAAATTGTTTTTAAAAATTACAATTCTCTGAAACATTGATAAAAACATAAATTACAATCCGGAAAAATTTAAACATGTTCATATTGATGTTAAAAACATTTTTGGAAACATTTGATGACTAAAAACATTTGTAAAAACATTTTAAAATACATTTTTAAAAATGTATTTTCCGGAATTTTTTTTTCATGTTTTTACAATGCTTCCAGAAATTGTAATATTTTTATTAATGTTTTCCGGAATTGTAATGGTTTTAAAAAGGAGCCGTTCATGTGAGGAAACCTGAGGAAACATAAATTACAATTGTGAAAACATATAAAAACATATAAGAACTTCCGGAAAACATTTTAAGAATTAATGTTTTTCCGGAAATTGTAAAATTAATTGTATTTTCAGGAAATTTCATTTTATGTTTTTACAATCCTTTCCGGAAATTGTAAACCTATTTACTAATTAATTTTTTCTGGTTGAAACTTCAGTTAATGTTTATATTTTTTTGAAGACCAAACGTGTAGACTTGTTTTAAATTATCTGACCATATTATATTTTTTAAACAACAAAAATGGCATTTTTTTAAATTAAGAAAAATATTGTTGTATACTCCCGAAAAAATTCTTTTATTTTTAATATTGTGGTGCATTTTTATTAATTTTGTGATTAACTCAATTCAACAAAAACACACACTTATTATTGTAGATTATTATTGTTTAGATTATAAATACATTATTAAAAATATATTAAAATGTTCTCTTATTAAATATAATTAATTGCAACATTCCCCCAACTATGGCTTATACATTTGTTTTTATGCTTAAAATGTCTTCCGGAAATTGTAAAACGTTTTTAAGAATTGTAAAATGTTTTTAACAATTTGTAAAACATTTTTCTGAATTTGCAAAATGTTTTCCGGAAATTGTAAAATGTTTTATGAATTTGTAAAATGTTTTTAACAATTTATAAAATGTTTTCCGGAATTTATAAAATGTTTTTAAAATTTAAAATGTTTTCCGGAAATTTTCGAATGTTTTCAGAAAATTTTAAAACATTTTCCGGAATTTGTAAAGTTTTCCGGAAGGAATTTGTAAAACATCTTCCGGAATTTATAAAATGTTTTTAGAAATTTAAAATGTTTTCCGCAATTTGTAAAACATTTTCCGAGTTTGTAAAATGTTTTCCGGAATTTTTTGGATGTTTTTAACAATCTGTAAAACATTTTCCGGAATATCTAGATGTTTTTATGAATTTGTAAATGTTTTCCGGAATTTGTAATACATATTTTACAATTTGTAAAAGTTTGCAAATTTGTAAAACATTCTAAGAATTTGTAAAACATACTTTACAATTTGTAAAATGTTTTTCGGAATTAAAAAATGTTTTTACAAATTGTAAAATGTTTTTAAACAAATTAAAAATGTTTCCGGAAGGAATTTGTAAAACATTTTTCTAATTTGTAAAATGTTTTCCGGAATTTTTCTAATGTTTTTAGCAATTTGTAAAAGTTTTCCGGAATATCTAAAATGTTTTTATGAATTTGTAGATGTTTAACGGAATTTATAAAATGTTTTCACAAATTTGTAAAATGTTTTCCGGAATTGATTTTAAATGTTTCTTTTATTCTTCCACTAAATTTGTTCTTTATTTATGTTTTCCGGAATTATTAAAAATCATTGCCCAACAATTCTTGCCTTTTTTAATTTTATTCATAGTGCCATTAAAAATATATAAAAGCATTTTTTATTAATTAAATATTAAATTTTTCTTTTATTTTAATTTTTTTAATTAAATTTATTTCCAAAATTTTGAAATTTAAATTTTTCAAAAAAATTTTTTTTTGTCAGACAAAGTCTTGCACTTTTACTTTAAACTCTCACATGTTATTTATTTAAAAAACATGACCGATAGACAATTAAAATTTTTTAGCCAATTTTTAAGTGCATCTTGAAAAGCAGTTAAAGTGCACGTGTAGTCCTTAGAAAAGTATAATGTTTTTCTGATAATTTAATTTTAATTTAATTTCCGTTTCAGAATTTGTTTTTCCGGAATTTGTAATAGACTTGCAATTTGTAAAATGTTTTCCGGAATTTATAAAAAGTTTTCCGGAATTTGTAAAATGTTTTCCGGAATTTGTAAATGTTTTCCGGAATTTGTAAAATGTTTTCCGGAATTTGTAAAAAGTTTTCCGGAATTTGTAAATGTTTTCCGGAATTTGTAAATGTTTTCCGGAATTTGTAAATGTTTTCCGGAATTTGTAAATGTTTTCCGGAATTTGTAAATGTTTTCCGGAATTTGTAAATGTTTTCCGGAATTTGTAAATGTTTTCCGGAATTTGAGTTATAAATAATTTACAATTTGTAAAATGCTTAAAACTATAAGGGTGAGTGAACGGGGTGGGGTTGTTTTGGCGCCTTGACGTTTTTGGCGCGCGTCTCGAAACTGACACTTAGACTAAACCTAAATTCATGAAACTTCTCTCAAATTTTTTTAACATCCTTGACTAACTCCTCCAGAAATTTCAGAATTTTTCATTTAATATTCTCCAAGTTATAGTCAATAAACCTCAAAAAATTGGTCTTTTTGCGGAAAATTAAGACATCTTTGGCCATAATTTCTAAAATTTTGGTCCAAAAATTCTGAAATTTTGGGAGAAGTTAGATAAACATATGAGGGTCATTATTCCAAAATTTTGCCTTTCTAGTTAAGTAATTGAGGGTTTTATAAGCTCGCGCCGAAACGACACTCGCGCCTAAACTGCCCTGCCCATAGTGGAGTGTAGAGGGCAATTCGAATTTTTTCAATTACAACAGCAAACCTAGACTGACCACCCACAAATTTTTTTTAAGACAAATTTCATAATTAATTTTCTAACAGTTGTGTGTTTTAGCTCCTTACGTCACCGCGTCATTTTTATAAAGATGCACTTTATTTTGTAAATAAAATTCCCCTTTATAAATGCTTAAACTACCTAGATTTTTTATTTAATCAAATAGCCGCCTTAAATTTATTTTTTTAATAGAGCCGGACTCGTTATAAGATACACCCTCCCAGGCCTAAAATTGTCTCTTATAATGAGGTACCTTAAATAGAGGTACCTTAAAATCACTTGGGAGCTCACTCCCCGACCAATGGTCAACCAAACTCTAGGTAAACGTATATCCTAAATAGAGGTGTACATATTATGGAGGAATCTTCTAAAAGGTTGGGCATTATAATGAGGTGTACCTTAAATAGAGGGTATAGATTAGACATCCCTGCCCGGTGGCTAGCCATCTTTTAAAAAACCAAATCTTAAATAGAGGTTATATGGAGGGTATATTATAAAGAGAGTGTACTATAAAGAGGTTATCTTAAACATAGGGTGTATATAGTAAAGGGTATGACCCTATATATGACCCTATATAATGAAGGGTATCTTAAATAGAGGATGTCGTCTAGACAGCTCCTCCAAACCAATGATCCACCCTTCCAACCCAGTCGACTCCTCTGCCCAGTACCTTAGAAACCCTCTTAATCCCCACAAATCCTCCAATTTACCTCTTAATCCCTACAAATCCTACGATATCCCTCTTAATTCACTCAAATTACCCTTTATATCCGATAACTCTCCGATATACGTCACTTACAGATCGTCCAATGACGTTTTCTCATGTCACTGACCGATTGTCCGGACACGCGCTTAGGCAGGCAGCTCCTCACACCCAATAAATCCTCCCAACCCAGTCGACTCCTCAACCCAGTACCTTTAGAAACCTTATCTTAAATAGAGGTCATTTTTATAGCGAGTTTTAGCAGATTTCTCTTAATAAAATGCAACTGGACATTATTCTTTCCTTTATTTTAATTATTTTGTTTCCAAAATATTTACAAATTTCTGGAATGTTTACCCCACATAGTCGAAGTCGACTCAGCAGAACATCTTCGTCCATTGTCACTGCTATATCAAAATCTCCACGGTAAAATTAAAATAAATTAATTAAATGGGATCGACATAGACGGGTTCTCCCCCATAAGTTAACTCAAGACCTCTAAGACAATACTCAAGACGAAGGAGAAAAAGTTCCGGTTACTTTCCGGAAAGTATTTTTTTTATCAAAAATACATTTTTTCCGGAAGACACAATACTTTCCGGAAAACAATACTTTCCGGAAAATACATTTTTTCCGGAAAACACAATTTTTCCGGAAAATACAATTTTTCCGAAAAATACAATCTTTCCGGAAAACACAATTTTTCCGGAAAATACATTTTTTCCGGAAAATACAATATTTCCGGAAAATACAATACTTTCCGGAAAACACAATTTTTTTACGAAAATACACTCCCTTTTACCTTAGCTGACAGTTTCACGAACAGAATTTCGGTTTTATATATCCCTTAATCCGTTTAATCCCAACAAATCTATCCTAATCCGGCCAAATCCATCGATATCTCCTTAATATCCACAAATCCTTATTTATCCCCCAAATATTTGAAGTTGACCGTTAGGGTCATTTGATTACTAGGAGTTTACCTACTGGGTATTGACCTTCTGGGGTGACCTTTTGAAGCTAAAATTAATTAAAATTAATTTTAAGGCAAATAAAAGCGTTGGTAACCGATTTAAATAGAGGGTGTAGAAGTGGAAGTGCGATGGTGGTTAAGGAAGCAGATGAAGTTTGGAATAGAAGCGGTGAGTTGTATGTTTAGTATTTTGTTATTAAATGTCTTTCCGGAATGTTTTAGAAAGTTTTCCGGAATATTTTAAATTGTTTCCGGAATATTGTAAAAAGTTTTCCGGAAAGTTGCAAATGTTTCTAGAGGTGTAAATTGTAATGTTTCCGGAAATTGTAAAATTTTCCGGAATGTTATAAATAATTTCCGGAATATTCTAATTATTTCCGGAATGTTATAAATCATTTCCGGAATGTTTTAAACTGTTTCCGGAATATTCTAATTATTTCCGGAATGTTATAAATCATTTCCGGAATGCTTTAAAATGTTTCCGGAATATTTTTAACTATTTCCGGAATTTTCTAATTACTTCCGGATTTTTTAAAAATGTTTCCGAAATTGTAAATTCTTTCCGGAACGGTTTAAAATGTTTCCGGAATTTTCAAAAATATTTCCGGAAAATTGTAAATTCTTTCCGGAATGTTTCCGGATTTTTTTAAAGGAGTATATTTACTTATAAATAATATTTCAGAGTATACTATCAGCTATACTGAGTTAGTTAGAGATTTGGGAGAATTTGGGAAAGATCCTTACACCAAAAAATTGGATGATTATTATAACTTTTTACACGCCTTGAAGCGGAATTTAACTGAACAGCTAGTACCGGTTGTTGAATTAATTAAAATGATTGTAGAGGACTATAAAAAAGATGAGGGGAGGTTAAGTGAAATGGAGAGGAATATTAACGATATTAAAATTCAAATTGAAAAAGACTTTTATTATGTCATGGAAAATGATGAATTTATGATTAGTAAAGAAGAAAAAGAAAATATTGAAGATTTAATTAGCGATTATATACATGAAAGGACTGTGTATAGAGAAGAGGTAGGGAGAGTACGGAAGGTGTTGTATTTTCCGGAATGTATTGTATTTTCCGGAAAGTATTATATTTTCCGGAAAGTATTGTATTTTCCGGAATGTATTATATTTTCCGGAAAGTATTGTATTTTCCGGAAAGTATTGTATTTTCCGGAATGTATTTTATTTTCCGGAAAGTATTGTATTTTCCGGAATGTATTGTATTTTCCGGAAAGTATTATATTTTCCGGAAAGTATTATATTTTCCGGAAAGTATTGTATTTTCCGGAAAGTATTATATTTTCCGGAAAGTATTGTATTTTCCGGAAAGTATTATATTTTTCCGGAAAGTATTATATTTTCCGGAAAGTATATATTTTCCGGAGAGTATTGTATTTTCCGGAGACTTTTCCGGAAAGTTGTAGTATTACATTACATTAACTGAAAAGTTGTCTATATTTTTCCGAAAATCTCCGAAAATTTATTCTGCTCTCACATATTTCCGGAAATTTATAATATTCTTCCGGAAATTGCAAAAAGTAATATAGACCATGATTAGAATGTACCTATGTAGTAACTCACTTTACATATTTAAAGGCCGAACCCTTATCCTCAAAATACGACAAAGCTTTCAAAAAATGGCTCAAAGAAAAGAGAAGGTTATTAGTAGAAGTTCAAAAATGCTATCTAGACAACGACACAATTCACGAATTGGGGCAAATTGATAGCCTAAGAAAAAATTATGAAGACAAAATTATTCAGGCTAAAAAGTTGATTGGAAGATGTGTTGAAAGTAATGAGGGAAGAATAACAAGCAGTTTAGGTAGGGATTGGGATGTTAGGGCGCGAGGTCGTTAGGACGTTGGGGCAGCTAGGACTCGGGGTCATTTAGGGCGCGACGTCGTCAAGACGTGGAGTTGTTAGGGCGCGAGGTCATTACGGCGCGAAGCTGTTAGAGCGTGGGGGCCGTCAGGGCGCGAGGCCGTTAGGGCGTGGAGTTGTTAGGACGCTGGGGCCGTTAGGGCGTGAGCCTATAAAATCGAGAATTGACCATCCAGAAGAATAAAATTTTGAAATAATAACCCTCATATGTTTATCTACGTTCTCCAAAAATTTCAAAATTGTTGGCCTGGAATTTAAGAAATTATGGCCAAAAATGTTTTGATTTCTCAAAAAATAACTAATTTTTTGAGGTTTATGGACTATAACTTGGAGAATATTTGATGAAAAATTCTGAAATTTTTGGAGGAGTTAGTCGAGGATGTTAAGAAAATTTGAGAAAATTTTTAGAAATTTAGGTTTAGTCTATTTCACGATATCGAGGCGCGCGCCCAAACGTCCATGCGCCTAAACGTCCCAAACTTATTTAGAAAACGATTCGACAGAAGAAAGAAATTTGTGGGAACGAATTGCTACTCAAATGGGGAAGCTTTCGAACGAAGTTTACTTAAATTTGGCAAAAAATATCCCTACCAGAAAAATTAGAAAAAATCTGAGAGGGTGTGCTTATGCAGACTATAAATGGAGGGATATTATTGAATTTAAAAAATCTGTGGAAAAAATGAGAAATGAGGCTGAGGAAGTCAGTCAAGATGCGAATAGGGTTATTTCGGGGTATTCGAGGATGTTATCGTTGTTAGAAATGTTTAAACTTAAAAAGGATGATACAACATTGAGATTATCGTATGGTGATGATGGTGCTTCAAGTTCGGAAATAAAGGCGGAAAAAGGTTAATATAAATTTTATGGAAAAATACAAGGTTCCGGAAAATATAAATTTTCCGATAAAACACAAAGTTTCCGGAAAAATACAAAGTTTCCGAAAAAATACAAAATTTCCGGAAAAATACAAAGTTTCCGGAAAAATACAAAATTTCCGGAAAAATACAAAGTTTCCGGAAAAATACAAAATTTCCGGAAAAATACAAAGTTTCCGGAAAAATACAAAATTTCCGGAAAAATACAAAGTTTCCGGAAAAATACAAAATTTCCGGAAAAATACAAAGTTTCCGGAAAAATACAAAATTTCCGGAAAAATACAAAGTTTCCGGAAAAATACAAAATTTCCGGAAAAATACAAAGTTTCCGGAAAAATACAAAATTTCCGGAAAAATACAAAGTTTCCGGAAAAATACAAAATTTCCGGAAAATATAAAACAAACACGGTTAATAAACTTAAGAATAGAAATACAAAAAAATACAAAAAAAAAAATACAAAGGAAATACAAAAAAATACATATAATATAGACAACTTATTAATTTTAGACGAAGAATTGGAGTATGTAAACTCATTGTTAGCACAGGCTAAAAACAAGCCCTTAATAATTTACTTGATTTATGTTTACGAGGAAAAATATCATCGTTTTAACACTAGAAAAACTGTTTTGATTAAACAGCCAAGACTACAGAAATGTAGAGAAGAAGCCTTAAAAATATATAAAGGAATTTATGACGTGAGCATGATAAATGAAGATGACTGGACTCAGACTATTATAATTACGATTCTTAAGGTGTGTTTTTTAATTGGAAATAATTAAGAAGATTTTCCGGAAAATAAATAAAAAATTTTTCCGGAAAATATAAACATTCCGGAAATAAATAAAATTTTCCGGAAAATATAAACTTTCCGGAAAATAAATAAAATTTTCCGGAAAATATAAACTTTCCGGAAAATAAATAAAATTTTCCGGAAAATATAAACTTTCCGGAAAATAAATAAAATTTTCCGGAAAATATAAACTTTCCGGAAAATAAATAAAATTTTCCGGAAAATATAAACTTTCCGGAAAATAAATAAAATTTTCCGGAAAATATAAACTTTCCGGAAAATAAATAAAATTTTCCGGAAAATATAAACTTTCCGGAAAATAAATAAAATTTTCCGGAAAATATAAACTTTCCGGAAAATAAATAAAATTTTCCGGAAAATATAAACTTTCCGGAAAATAAATAAAATTTTCCGGAAAATAAATAAAAATTTCCGGAAAATATAAACTTTCCGGAAATAAAATACAATTTTATTTATTTTCTCTACCAATCCTTCCGGAAAAATTTAATTTAAAGTGAGTTCGGAAAATATAAACTTTTTGAAAAATTCCGGATCCGGTTTCCGGATTTTTATTTCTTTTCTATCCGGACTGGATCAATTTCCGATTTTCCGGAAAATTTTCCGGATCAAAATCCGATTTTTAACAAAATACCCGGATTCCGGACTACTCGATCCGGAAAATCCGAGGGGGGGATCCGGTTCGGTTCGAATTCTAATTTAAATAAATCCGGAGAATTTTCCGGATCAATTTTCCGGATCAAAATCCGGAAAATCCGATTTTTAACAAAATACCCGGATTCCGGACTACCGGATCCGGAAATCCGAGGGGGGGGGGGTCCGGTTTAAACTCTAATTTAAATAAATCCGGAGAATTTTCCGGATCAATTTTCCAGAGAATTTTCCGGATCAATTTTCCGGAACTTAAAAAAATTCCGGAAAATAATTGACTGACACATATAATCTTGAGTCTTAATGTCTTAAAATTTCAATTTTAAATTTTAGATGTTGGGGATTGGACATCAATCTTATACCAATAAATTTTTAAACAAATTAATTAATAATAGCGAATTTAAATTTGTTGACAAAGATTATTCGAGGAAACAATGAGGAAAATAAATGAAAAAATTAATGTAAAAATTAATTAATTAATGTAAAAATGCCTCCAAATAATGACCGATTGTGTTTATATATTTTGTAGAAACCTAAATATATATATATTTAATGTATAAAGCTTCTGTATTTTTTTGTTTATTTGTATTTTATTTGATTCAGAATTAAGTTCCGGAAAGTTTGTATTTTTGTATTTTTAAGTTTTCCGGAAAGGTTGTATTTTTGTATCTTTAAGTTTTCCGGAAAGTTCGTTGTTGTATTTTATTTAATTTTATTTTTCCGGAAATAATTTAATTCAACGTCGTATTTTACCGTGTGTATTTCTAGAAAGTTTCCGGAAAGATTAATGTATTTTATGTATTTTTGTATTTTCTATTTTTCCGGAATTTTTGTTTCCGGAATCTATTTAATAGTTGTTTCCGGAAAGTTTCCGGTTTGTATTTTGTATATTTTTGTATTTTCTTTCCGGAAAGTTTATGTATGTATTTTTCCCTCAAGTTTATCTATTCCCTTGTCTTCTTCTCTGTTAACAAACTTGAAATTAAAATTCTGATTTTTATTCCATCAGAATAATTTTTTTTAACTTTTTCAAGTTAATGAGCGGAAGAAATTAAATTGATTAACACTAACAATTAAATTTTCTTTTTTTTCTCATCCTTTACATGACCCAAATTTGAAGCTTTTTTCTTTCAACTGCTTCTAACGTTAAAAACCAGTGGTTATTTTCGCAGCAATTTTTATAAAAATTATTTTTGGCATTTTTTCGATAAAAACATTTTTTTCTGTCCCCCCAATGATTGCTTAAATAATGTTAAAAATAATTATTTTTTATTTTTGTATTTTTTATTTTTCTATTGGTGAGATTGTGGAGAATAGTGTATTCAACTGTCCAAATAATGGAGAGCCTAAAAGGGATATAGACAGTGGGGAACTTATTCAATGCCTGCCTGGTTTGTTTATTATTGTTGAATTTTACTATAACCTTAAGCTGTTCTGATTTTTTGTTCTGATGTGTTCTGATTTTTTGTTTTGATTTTTGTTCTGATTTTACTTCTGATTTTTTTTCATAATTTTTGTTCTGATTTTTTCTGATTTTTATAATTTTCTGTTCTGATTTTTTGTTCTGATTTCTTTCAGATTTTCGTTCTGATTTTGCTTCTGATTTCTTCCGATTTTCGTTCTGATTTTCTGTTCTGATTTTTTCTGATTTGTACCGATTTCTTCTGATCTTATACTGACATTGTTCTGATTTTTCTGATTCTATTCTGATTATCTTCTGATACATGTTCTGATTTTTGTTCTGATTTAGTCTTCTGATTTTTTACTCTGTTTGTTCTGATTTCTTCCGATTTCTTCTGATTTTGTTCTGACCTTGTTCTGATTTTTTCTGGGTTGTTCTGATATTTGTTCTGATTTGGGTTTTGTTCTGATTTATTCACTAATTTTTAAAAAAGGTTGGTCATCTGAAGCCACTTGTGGGCCAAACTACTCCTGCTTCTTTTCCGGATTTAATTATCAATGTTGTCCAACTGATGGAAATGATGAATTAATTAATTCAAAATTAAATAATAAAGAAATTAAAAAATCTGAGGATGAAAGAGACGAATGCCCTGACGATGCTTTGGCGGTGCTTGATTCTGCTGGGGATGTTATGTATTGTGATGGGGCAGGGAAATGCCCTAATGTACATATATAATTTATTATATTTTGGAGCATTTCTGGAATAATTCCGGAAAATATTATTTCCGGAAAAAAATAATGTTTTTGATTTTTCCGGAAAAAATATTTTCCGGATTTTTTTTCCGGAAAAATATTTTTATGATTTTTCCGGAAAAAAATAATTTATTTTCCGGAAATTATTTATTATTTAATGTGTTTTCCGGAAAATTTTACGGAAATCAATTTTGTACTCATTTCTCCGGAAAGTAACCGGAAATTAATGTATATATTTCCGGAAAATTTTATTTAGTTCTTACACATTTCCGGAACGTAACCGGAAATGTATACTTATACTTTTCCGAAAAGTACAATATTATTTTGTCGGAAGGTTTCAGAAAATTTATCCTGCTCTTACATATTTCCGGAAAGTAGCTGAACTGTATAAATAACCGGAAATGAATATAGGTGTATTTTTCCGGAAGTTATAAGAATATATTTCCGGAAAATTTTATTTTATTCCCCAAAGGATTTCCGGAAACTAATCTTGTACTCATATTTTTCCGGAGAGTAACCGGAAATTATGTATATATTTCCGGAAAATTTTATTTTTATATTTCCGGAAAATAACCGGAAAGTGCAATAATAATTTTCCGTAAATTAATTTTGTTCTGATATATTTCCGGAATAGATGTGCACATATATAAAAATAATATTCCGGAAAAACTAATACTTTTCCGGAAATTTATTTTATTCTTATTCCGGAAAACAACCGGAAATAAAATATATTTTTCCGGAAAACAACCGGAAATAAAATATATTTTTCCGGAAAACAACCGGAAATAAAATATATTTTTCCGGAAGGCAACCGGAAATGAAATATATTTTTCCGGAAAGCAACCGGAAATGAAATATATTTTTCCGGAAAGCAACCGGAAATGAAATATATTTTTCCGGAAAGCAACCGGAAATGAAATATATTTTTCCGGAAAGCAACCGGAAATAAAATATATTTTTCCGGAAGGCAACCGGAAATGAAATATATTTTTCCGGAGAAGCAACCGGAAATGAAATATATTTTTCCGGAAGGCAACCGGAAATGAAATAAATTTTTCCGGAAAGCAACCGGAAATGAAATATATTTTTCCGGAAGGCAACCGGAAATGAAATATATTTTTCCGGAAAGCAACCGGAAATAAAATATATTTTTCCGGAAGGCAACCGGAAATGAAATATATTTTTCCGGAAAGCAACCGGAAATGAAATATATTTTTCCGGAAAGCAACCGGAAATGAAATATATTTTTCCGGAAAGCAACCGGAAATGAAATATATTTTTCCGGAAAGCAACCGGAAATAAAATATATTTTTCCGGAAGGCAACCGGAAATGAAATATATTTTTCCGGAAAGCAACCGGAAATGAAATATATTTTTCCGGAAAGCAACCGGAAATGAAATATATTTTTCCGGAAAGCAACCGGAAATGAAATATATTTTTCCGGAAAGCAACCGGAAATGAAATATATTTTTCCGGAAGGCTACCGGAAATGAAATATATTTTTCCGGAAGCAACCGGAAATGAAATATATTTTTCCGGAAGGCAACCGGAAATGAAATATATTTTTCCGGAAGGCAACCGGAAATGAAATATATTTTTCCGGAAGGCAACCGGAAATGAAATATATTTTTCTGGAAGGCAACCGGAAATGAAATATATTTTTCCGGAAGGCAACCGGAAATGAAATATATTTTTCCGGAAGGCAACCGGAAATGAAATATATTTTTCCGGAAGGCAACCGGAAATGAAATATATTTTTCCGGAAGGCAACCGGAAATGAAATATATTTTTCCGGAAGGCAACCGGAAATGAAATATATTTTTCCGGAAGGCAACCGGAAATGAAATATATTTTTCCGGAACTTGTACTAATACTAAAAATAAATACAATTATTTTCCCCTTATTTAAGGCTCAAATGTTTTGTTTTTCTGAAACAGGCGTAATTTCAGAAACTTCTGTTTGTTGCGAAAACTTTTTCTACAAAGACAACGAACAAACAAACAAAAACTCAGCAGAAACACCAAAACATGTTTTGCACTCAAATGTTGCCCCAGAGGATGTTTTGGAGGAGAATAAATCAAAAACATTTATTGGGAGTTCTGAACAAGACTTGACTAAAACAACGCCTCTAACCACTACTACAGCCTCTACAACAACAACAAAAACATCAACTATAAGTTTATTATCAGCAACAACATTTTTAGTTAATAAATCAACTAGAATTGTTGAGAATAAAAATGTGGGATAAAATGAGGATTATTTTTATTAGAGGCAGACCTCTTTATAAGAGACCCTCAATATAAGATACCCTCATTATAAGAGACCCTCTTTATAAGAGACCTATTTTTATAAGAGTCAGACCTCTTTATAAGATACTATCAATATAAGAGACCATCAATATAAGAGACCCTCAGTATAAGAGACCCTCAATATAAGATACCTTCATCATAAGAAACCCTCAGTATAAGAGACCCTCAATATAAGATACCTTCATTATAAGAGACCCTCATTATAAAAGACCCTCAATATAGGCTACCTTCTATTTAAGATACCTACGTTTTTTAAATAGTTGGCTGCCCACTAGGTAGAGGAGCTCCTCTCCTATACCTTCTATTTAAGGTACACCCATGATAATGTACACCCTCACTATAAGATACCTCCACTATAAGATACACCTCAGTTTAAGATACGCTTACTTAAAATTTGGATGCCCACTGGGAGGAGGTATACTTCTATCAATACCCTCTATTTTAAGATACCCTCATTATAAGATACTCTCATTATAAGGTATGATTTTTTCAGACCGAAGGGGTATTTAAAAACGAGGTCTGAAATTAATTTTTTAAGAGAGAAAATGGGCCCTCGAAGCAACAATCAAAAAATAAACAATTAAGTAGTAAAACTAGGGAGAATGGACCAAAATACGAAATTTATAATAAAGAAATAAAAGAAGAAAAAGACTTTCGAATTAATGAAGGGCAAAATAGTGAAGAAATTGATGAGAACGACTCTGCTAAAAATTTTCTACTTGAACAAATAAAGTAAAACTTAAGTTTCCGGATATTTCCTTTATTTTCCGGAATGTCTATATTATTTTCCGGATTTTTCTTTTTCACTTTCCGGAAACTCAATATATGTAGTAGGTGTCTTAAGGTGTATATTTTCAGATATTTTTCTTTAATTTCCGGAATGTTTATTATTTCCGGAAACTTAAATATTAATATTTCCGGAATATTAAATATCTTCCGGAATTTTTCACTTATTTCCGGAAAAGCTTCTTTTATCCCCGGCAACTATATCTTCCGGAAATTATATTTTCCGGAAGGTTTTTAAACTTATATGTATACACTTTATATTAATTGTACAGGCAAGGCTGGCCATACAACGACAAATACTATAGAGAAGAGGAACCTTCGGATGCTGAGGGTTTGTACTTACTCCTGAAGAAATTTAATTTTTAATTTAAAAATTCATAGATATAGTTGTTCTTCGAAGGAGAGGGCGACCAGAAGCTATTGTACATTTTCCAAATTAATTATATTTTAAAAAATGTTTTTTTAATTTTTGCTTAAATAAAAATCACAAGAAATATGGTAGTAATTTATTAAAAAATACACTCTGTTCCAAAATTATAAGGTCACCCCTATTTTTTATCATATCTCATCGAAAAACCATCAAAATTTTTTGAAATTTTTACATAATTTATATCTTTCTATTTAAAATCTGTCTTAAAAAAATCAAATTTGTAGCTACCTTAAAAAATTTTTTATGACCAAAAAAATAAATTTAAGGTGTTCCATAATTATAAGGTCACCTCTGTTTTTAGATTTCTAATAGTGGCAAAAATCCACAAAAATTTTTCTGAACATATCTATCAATATAGATACGAAATACAAAAGAAATGAAGTCTATTAATATTGTTGTTGATGTTTTTTATTTGTTTATGTTTTTGTTGATGTTTTTATTGCTGTTTTTATTGTTTTTGTTGTTGTTGATGTTTTTGTGTTTTGTTTTCTCTCATTGTTTATGGATGTTTTTATTGATGTTTTTGTTGATGTTTTTGTTGATGTTTTTTATATTTTTCTGATTGTTTTTGTATTTTGTTTGTTTCTCTCTTAGTTTCTACTATTCCCTCTCCTCTTTGTTGTTGCGATGTTTTTGTTTGTTTTGTGTTTTTCCCAAACTTATTAAAGGGAAATATTGTTGCTAATGTTTGTTTTGTGTTTATTAATTTTCTTTTTATGTTTGTTTGTGTTTCTCCTTTTTGTTTAAATCTTCTAGTAGTTGGTAACAAACATTGGCGTTGTTCTCTCCCACAAACCCGATTGCCTGTACACACCCGCCATCTTTATTTAATTAAAAAAATTTTTTTTTCTCGATTAAAATAAATTTTTCTACCTAGCCTGAACCCCTATATTCCCTTGATTATTGGGAGCTCTACATTTTGTCCATTGAGTCCAGCCGAGGGATGCGTGGTCTGTTGCTGCTTGTCTTTCCACAAAATCTTTAATTGAAAAAATTTTTTGAAATTATTTTCCACTTTTAATCCCTAAATATTAATCCTTTTACCTCTCCTTCTAATTTTCCCCTCATTTAAGCTATTTTCCCCTAAAGTAATTTTCATTTCATCCTCTTCCCCATCAAATTCACGATTTTCATAATCATCGTCCTCATTTATGTTGGTTAAGTTTAAATTATTAGTTAATGTTTTTGTTGTTGTTGTAGTAGGTTTTTGAGAAGATAAACCGGAGCAATCTTTGTTTTATTTAAAAAATTTTTTAAATTAATTATTGCAACAATAAATAGGGGCTGTGAAGGTAAACATGCTCTACGCCATTCTCGATAACTTTTGAACGGATAGACCTTCTTGAATGCTTTTGGTACCATTCGATAGAGCAGAAAATTTGCTATAAAGTAAAATAAAAAATTAAATTTTTGAATGTCTATCAACAAAGTTATGGTCAAAAAACTAGTTTTTGTTG